GCTGCCGCCGTCGTCGTCGCTGCCGTCGTCGTGACCGGTTTCGCCGTCGTCGTTTTCGCCGTCGCCGCCGTCGTTGCCGCCGCCGCCGTTGTCGCCGCGGTCGTCATCGCCGTGGTCGGCGTCGTCGCCGTCGTCGTCGTCGTCGTCGTCGTAGCCACCGCCGCCGTCGTTGTCGTCGGTCGCGGTTGCCGTCGCCGTCGTCGCCGTCGTCGTCGCCTTGGCCGTGGTCGCCGCCGCTGGGCGAGGTCTCGTCGCTGGCCGTCTGCTTCGTGCCTGGGCTCGAGCCTGACAGCCTCTACGAGTTCGAGGCCCACGCGATCACCTCGCGGGGGTCCTCGTTGGGCATACAGGCGCCTCAGGGGCGGGGGGGTGAGGTCGGTCGGTCGGAAGCGGCATCAGCGCAATCGCAGAGCCCGTCTGACTCACCATCCACCAAACCACCCCAGCCCAACCCGAAGGCCACGATTTGCCCTCCACTCCCAGTGAAAAGGGGGCGTCGGGGAACGTTGGAAAAGTACATGTGGAACCCGTGCCCCCCCCAGCCCGAAATTTGGGTCCTCGGGCTGGGTGGGGGTGGTCTGGCAGGTAGTCGCTGACGCAGTGGCCCTCTCCCCGAGAGGGTAGCGCTTGTGCCGCCCGCCTCCCCAGAGTGCAAGGAGAGGGGCGCCGAGCCCCCGAGCAGGCCCCAGAAATGTGGGCGCCAGGCCCACACCTGTGGAACGAGCGGGCATAGGACGTGGGAGGGACGGGGGAGGGAAGAGGGAGGGAGGGAGAGGGGAGGGCGGAGGGAGGTAGAGAGGAGGGAGGATGGATGGTTCGAGTGGAGGGGGAGGGGGGAGGCGAAGGAGGAGGAGGAGGAGGAGGAGGAGGAGGAGGAGGAGGAGGGGGAGGAGGATGAGGAGGAGAGGGAAGGGGAGGAGGACGGGGAGGACGCAGCAGGAGGCGGATGATGATGCTGCTGCTGATGATGATGCTGCTGCTGGTGATGATGCTGATGCTGCTGATGATGATGATGATGTTGCTGCTGATGATGTCGATGCTGATTATGAGGATGCTGATGATGATGCTGATGCTGATGATCATGATGGATGATGCCCATGATGATGGATGATGATGCTGCTGCTGATGATGATGCTGATGCCGATGCTGATACTGATGATGATTCTGTTTCTGATGATGATACTGCTGATGATGATGAGGATGATGATGCTGATGCTGATGATGATGCTGCAGACGATGATGATGCTGCTGATTGTGATGATGCTGACTAAGATGATGATGATGATGATGATGACGATGATGATGAGGCTGATGAGGCTGATGATGCTTATGCTGCTGCTGCTGATTCTGATGATGACGACTGTAATTATGTGGATGACGCTGTTGTTATGGTTGTTGTTGTTGTTGTTGCTGTTGGTCGTGGTGGTTGTGATGGAGGTGGTGGTGGTGATGATGATGATGATGATGGTGGTGATAAGGATGATGAGGATGATGATGATGATGATTATGATGATGATGATGATGCTGATGTTGCTGCTGCTGCTGATGATGATGATGGTGGTGGTGGTGGTGGCGATGATGATGATGATGATGATGATGATGATGATGATGATGATGATGATGATGATGATGATGATGATGATGATGATGATGATGATGATGATGATGATGATGATGATGATGATGATGATGATGATGATGATGGTGGTGGTGGTGATGATGATGATGATGCTGATGCTGCTGCTGCTGCTGATGATGATGATGATGACGATGATGATGATGACGATGACGATGACGATGACGACGATGACGATGACGATGACGATGGTGATGCTGATGATGATGTTGATGATGATGATGATGATGATGATGATGAGGAGGATGAGGAGGAGGAGGAGGACGAGGACGATGATGAGGATGAAGAATAATAATGTGAGCAATATGAATGATAATCATACTTAGAACAATAATTATAATAAGAAGGTGGTGGTTGAAGGGGGGATGGTGCGCTTGCAGACCTCGGTGCCGAAGTCGTGGGAGGGTACCCCGAGGTGCAGGTCCGCGGCCCCGTCCTGCGGCTTGTCCTCCTGCTGCTTGTCCTCATTCAGCGCACTGGGGTTGTCGACCTCCCGGCTACATCTTGTGGCGCCGCTGATGCCCCAAGGAGGCCGTGATGAGTTCACGCGTGGAGATGCGGCCACGCCGCGAGGCCTGGGCCAGCCTGCGGCGCGCTTCCTCGTGAGACTAGCCTCAGCGGCCTGGAGCCTCACAGGGCTCGACCTGGACGATGTTTTGGCGATCTCGTGAGCCGTTTTCGTCTCGACTTCGTTTTGCAGCAGAGGCGGATCGAGGACAGGGAAGAAAGACGAGAACAGGACGAGAACGAGGAACACTGCTCAGGTCGAGCCCTGGGGCCCGACTAGGCCCATCTCGGCCCGAGCTGTCCTCGTGGCTGCTGTCCGCGCTGAGCGGTCGCGGGCTCCTCGTCCGACATGGCGGGGTGCCAGGCCCGGGCGCCGCCGCGGTCGCCCTGTGCGACACGGGGCGGGGCTCGGGTGATCGCGCCTTCCCCTGCCCCTGCCCCTCCTCGTCGTCGTCCTCCTCCGCCTCCACGTCGCCCTGCTGCTCCTCCTCCACCGCCTCCCTCCTCTCCCCCGTCTCCCCCTCCCCCTCTCCCTCCTGCCCCTCACTGTGCCGCGAGAATCAAGCAGCTGAAGAGGCGAGGCGGGGTCTTCACCGCTGCCCTGGGCCAGGGGACGTCGTTGTCGTCATTCTGAACGCGTGCGCTCCCGCCTCTCGCTGCCCTCTTCCTCCCCCTCCCGCCCTCCCTTCAGGGAGGAGCAGAAATCACCTCGACCCCCACAATCGACGCTCACTAAACAGCATTGGGCGTTTACTACACAGCCCCGCCCTGTTCGATCCCTTCCCTCGGCGCGTTGACTGAAGGCTTCGCTTGTCGGAGTGCCTACAACTATGAGGGCTGTTTTCCTGCCCTCGACACCCTCCCTCGCAGCCCGAGCACCAGCAGTGGACGGCGCACCCCTGGCAGTTCGAACCGGCGGACGCGCGAAGCTCTTTGCCCGGACCCAGGGAGGCCCACCGATATTGGGCGCTGCGTAATGGGGGGGTCATAAATGGGGGGGGGCGAGGGTGGTCCGAAAAGGTATCCAAACGGTGCCTAAACAAGCTCCCTGGGGCTCCGGAGGGGCCCGAAAGGGGCACGAAAGGGGACCCTTCTCTGACCCCTCCATTTATGACCCCCCCACTCGGCCACGCCCGCCGAGAGGGCCGCGGGCCCGGGGCCCTCGCGGTCCACGACAGCGTCGGGGGCCGGCGGGCTGCGCTCCCGCGAGGAGCGCCCCACCGCCGCCCGCCGAGGGACGGGGCGCTGCCCGCCGGCCCGTCGGGAGTCGTTGGCGTCCTCCCGGTCGGCGCCCGTCCTGCCCCCGGGGAGGCGGGCGCACCACGCGAGCACGTTGGGCCGACGCGCTGCGCTCCTGCGAGGGGCTCCCCGCCCGCCTGCCGGTCGGGAGCCTTTGGCGTCCTCCTGGTCGGCGCCCGTCCTGTGCGGTCCACCCCTCCCTCTCGACTGCACGTAAGTCACCACCCACCAAGCCACCCCAACCCAATCCGAAGGTCTCGAGTTGCCCTCCATTTTCAGTTGGGGGGGGGTCCGGGAACATCGAGAAAACACATATGGAACCCGTACCCCCCCCCCCAACCCGAAATTCGGGTCTTCGGGTTGGGTTGGGGTGGTCTGGTAGGTAGTCAGTAAGAGTGACCCTCTGCCTGGAGTGACCTTCTGGTGCGGGCTCATCGGGTTCCCCCCGCTGGCTGCGCGCGGCGCGATAGCGGCCGACTGCGCGCTTGGACCTGGCCACCTTGGCGCCCGTCAGCCCGCGCACCAGAGGTCACTCCTGCCCGGGGCCACAGTGTGAGCACAATGTGAGCACGGGCCGCGTCGAGTTGACGCCCCCTCGGCGCGCGCGGCTCGACGCGCTCGTAGGCCGCCAGGAGGAGCGGAGCGCCAGAGCCCGCGCGATGTTGGAATGTCCACCCCTCCCTCGTCCTCCCTCCAGGGTGGCGTTCGCCGACAGAGAGAGAGAGAGAGAGAGCTCGTCTCAGAGAAGCTTCTCGAGGCCAAGGCACGTCCAGTGCTTTGCGTTTCCCCGTCGGGGCATTCCGTTCCCTTCCGTCCCTCCACCAGGTTAGTTGACAGGGGAGCCTGACAAGATCAAACAGGAGGGAGCTTCCAGGGGTTGGATCGGGACTTCCCCCTCGAGGAGGAGTCCTGATCGAGAGATCCCCCTCCTCCCTGGTCTGGGTAGACTTCCCCTCCTCGTCACCAGACCGTCCGTTCCGATCCGACCGATATCGATTCCGGCCGGTCCGATCCCATGCGATGCCGGTACTCCGGAGATCCGATGCGGCCCGATGCCTGGCGCGGCGCTGCTGTGCCACCCCGGCGCCGCCGACCCGAGTCGATGCCGCCCCCGTGCCGGCGCGTCCTGGTCCGGCGCGCGCGTTCTGATTCTGCCGATGCGGTGCCGGCGGGTCCTGCCCCGCTGATCCCCTTGCAGGCGGTGGTGGTGGTGGTGGTCGTGGTCCACGCTCGCGCCGGGGAGGGCGGAGGGGGAGGGGGCTGTGGGGGAGGATGCGAGAGAAGGAGGAATGAGGGAAAGGGAGGAGGAGGAGGAGGGGGGAGTGAGGAGGAAAAGGGGGGGCCAGAGTATATCAAACATGCGTGAACGATGCTTCATACACCCTCCCGTCCCAAGTCCCCTCCTCACACGCCCCAGGAAACGCTCCCGTTGAAAGACCAGCACAGTTGGGCGTGCCATTTTGGCGAGGGACCCGTTTTGAAAAGGACTTGCCTTGCACCTTAGTGGCGCGTAACGAGTAATGCGAAAGAGGATACTCATACAGTTCAACGAGATGTCCAGAGATATCTACCTCTGGAAGAAGGACCGCCCACATTCGGGGAACTGTTGCATTCGGCTGCATTTGTGGCCGTGAACTGCGAGGAAAAAGAGCCGTGATCTTTGCAGAGCTACGCGCGTTGAAGTTTAGGGTCTTTAATCGATGGTGACGAAATTTCAGGCGAGAATTGTACTTTGAAAAAGGAGTAATCCTCCATCCTGCTGTACGTTGCGTTCAAGAACTCGTGTATGCGGCGCTGAGGCGATCGCCCTATTTTGAGAACGATCTTTGCTCAATCCTTGAAGCCCTCTTGCCAGATTCTGAGATGAATGTTTGTGAGTTCAGGCGAAAACCCCATTTCGAGCAGGAACCGCCGTCCATGCGTGACAAATGACGCATGTGCTCGGCGCTATGGCGACAGCCCCACTTCGAAAACGCCATCTTACATCAGTGCTGCGACTGTTTCAGACGAATGTGCAGGGCGCTAACGCGAGGGCACCATTTTGAAAACCACCCTCGTACCGCCCGTGAATTAATTCAGTTCAATGTGACGACGAATGTGCGCGTCGCTAGAGCGAAAACTACGCTTCGAAAACGACCCCCCCTCAATCCATGAAGGTGTTTCATGTTATTCAGACGAAAGTGCGTAGGGCCTCGGCGGGAGCACCATTTTGAGAAAGAGCTACCCTCCATCCGCGAAGCGGTTGCAAATGATTCGTGCGAATTTGCGCGGCGCTAACGCGAGGGCCACATTTTGAACATGACCCGTCTTCCATCCTTGAAGCTGTTGCAGAGTTTTAATGTGCTCGGCTCTTGGGTGAGGGCTACATTTAAGAACTGACCCCTCTTCCGTCCGTGAAACTGTTGCAGACTCTATGACGAATATGCGCGGCGCCTGTGCAAGGGCCACATTTTGACAACCACCCCTCCGCCATCCGGCCATCCCTGAACCTGTTACAAACGTTGACGAATGTGCGCGGCGCTACGGCGAGAGCCACATTTTGAAGACGACCGCTCCTCCATCTGTGAAGTTGGTGCAACTTTCAAGCTACATGATCATACATGTGAGGAAGATTCAGCCGAAACGCCCGACCCGCCCGTCCTACACGTCTGGGGGTGCGATAGGGATGAGTTTTAGGAAGGGATGGATGGACGGATGGATGGATGGATGGATGGATGAATGGATGGATGGATGATGATGATGAGGAGGAGGAGGAAGAAGACAGAGGGAGGAGGAAGAGAGGGAGAAGGAGGAGGAGGAGAAGGAGGAGAAGGAGGAGGAGGATAAGGAGGAGGACGACGATGACGGTGAGGAGGAGGAGGAAGAAGAAAGGGAGGAGGATCAGATTTGTTAGATTTTCCAATTCGATGCAAACTGCTCCTGCCAGGCGTCCCCTGTCCAGCGGGCGCCGCTCTTCGCTCCACTGGGGGCCCGCCGAAGCCCGCTGGCAGCGCCAGGTGCGGGCCTACACGCCGGAGCGGTGCGTGGTCGAGGCCTCGTCGGGGCCTCTCGCTGCCGGGCCTTCGCCCGTCGTCGCCGTCGCCGCCGTCCGTGGTCGTCGTCGTTGTCGTCGTCGCCGCCGTCGCGGTCGCATTCGCCGTGCCCGTCGTCCACGGTCGTCGTCATCGTCGTCGTCGTCGTCGACGGCGTGGTCGACGTCAATGTCGATGTCGGAGACAGAGGCGGAGGACTGGGGGGAAGAGGATGGGGATTTGAGAGAGGGGGAGCAAGAAAAGGATGATGATGAGGAGGAGGATGAGCAGGAGGAGGAGGGATGAGCGAGGAGGAGCGAGGAGGACGAGGAGAAGATAGTGGGAGTATTAAGTGGAGGAGGATTAGGGGGATGATGATGATGATGATGATGATGATGATGAGGAGGATGAGGATGATGAGGATGAGGATGGGGATGATGATGATGATGATGATGATGATGATGATGATGATGCTAATGAAGACCATGATGATGATGATGATGACGATGATGATTATGCTGATTATGATGATAAAGATGGGTGTGACAATGATGATGAAGATGAAGATGGGTGTGACAATATTAAATGATAATGATAAATGGTGACGGCAATGATGATGATGATGATGATGATGATGAGTATGATGCTGCTGCTGATGATGATGATGATGATGCTGCTGCTGCTGATGATGATGATGATGTTGATGTTGATGATGATGATGATGATGATGATTGATGATGATGATGATGATGATGATGATGATGATGATGATGATGATGATGATGATGATGATGATGATGATGATGATGTGATGGTGGCGGTGATGTTGTTGTTGATGGTGGTTAATAGAATGATGATGCTGCTGATGACGATGTAACATGACCGGTTGCGTTACTATGCGCAGCTATCTGTGCTTAGAGGTTGAAGAGGTCCGCATGCGCGCGCCCTCCCCCTGCCTGGGCCGGGCGCTCCCGTGATACCACATATACGTACCCTAGCACATCCGCTTAACGGATATCCTAGCCATGGCGTCAAGTGCATCCTTTCCGAGACCCGACTTGGGACCACTACACAAAAATGACCCACCATAAAGTTCAGACCAAGAGCCCATCAACAGGATCAGGGTGATGCCAAATACTTCACCACGAGATCACGAAGCTGATGCCGGTGGCCCTGCGTCTGGCGGCGCACTGGACTGGCGCCCTCAGCAGGGGGCGCCGCGTGCCGCCGCCGCTGGCGGCTCGTGGCCGGGTCAACCTGTCACGGCGCGCGCGAGGGCCCGACGCTGGCCTTGGGCGCCCAGGTCGCGGAGCAGCGTCCTCGACTGCGCCCTCATTCGCCCGAGCCGAGCAGGCCGGCCCGGCCACAGCCAGTGAACGAGCCGCCTCCTCCGCCGCCAGGGCACGGTGCGCGAGCGCGCGGTTTCCGGGCCGCTGACGCGCGCCCGTTCTGGCCCGCCAGGCGTGGCCAGTCGCAGTGCGTTCAGCTGCGCCGGAAGGGCAGCAAGGGCGGCAAGGACAATATCAAGAAGTCGGCGGAGCCTTCCTCGGCCGAGCCCGCAAGGGCTCCTAATGAAACGCGCCGCGATGGCCCTGGGAGCAAGAAGGCGCGGGACGTCGAGCGGGCAGCAGCATTCAAGGCGATGACGGACAAGGCCGCTGACGCCAACGAAGAGAATCACGACAAGGCTGCCGACGCTAGCGAGGAGAAGGACGCCGAGGAGACGGTCTCGTCCCGCCCGCCAGGCGGAAGAACCCGACGCGGACGGCACCGCCACGCGCTAGGACTATCCTCGCACCGCGCTCGGGTATGGCGACGATGGAGAAGATGTGGACTGAGCGGCGAGGCGGAATGCAAGACGTCATTTGCTGCGCCCCCCCTCAGGGAAACGCTCCAGCTTCTCTCCCCGCTCCAACCTATCAGTCCAAGGTCTCGTCGCATCCTCGTCTCATCATCGTTGCGGGTCGTGCGTCTCGAGCTTCGCTCGTCTTTCGGTTGTTTCGACCGCGACGCGCGGATCCACGTATACACAGACACGGCGCACGGCAGTCTGCCTCACACCTACTCAGGCGAGCTGCTTTGTGCCGTTCCTGAGAGCACGAGCGTGCTCTTTGAGTATAGAGTGAGCACGCACTCCGCCGCGCCCTGCGTGCGCCCCCCAGGGGGCACCCTGGTATCCTGTCCGGGTTGGGACAGTGCGCGGGGGTGGGGCAGTTTGGCATTCTCTCTTCCTCGGTTCCTCTGCTCCGACAAAGCTGTTCGATCGACCGCGCAAGTGCTATCTCGGCTCGCAGCTCGGGCCGCGTGCGCCCGATTAAAAAGGTCCCGCATCCCGCCTTGATTTCTTCGTGCCGCCAAACAGCCCCCGTAATTCTGGGCCCTCCTACCCTTTCTCCTCGTCCTCCTCCTCGTCCTGCCCCCCCTGTCTCTTCCCGGGGAGGCCGACCTCTCCCTGCACGGCCTGCACGGCCTCGGGGAGGACTGCGCGGAGGAGTGGGAGGCGCCGTTCGCCCGCGCTCGCGCGTTCCTTGGGGTGGGGGGGCGGGGGGTGGGGACGGAGGTTGATGCCCTCACCCTGCCAAGTCGATCAGCGAGTCGCCGTGATTTGTGCCTGGAGAGAGCCTTCGACTGCTGTTTCACGGGCCGGCGCCTGATGGGTCTGGCCCCAGGCTGTTCTCAGTGAAGGGATGTCTGATCAAAAAGGGGGCTATGTCCACCCCCGAGGGGAGGCGGGCGGGGGCGGCGACCCTTTTCGCGAGGAAGGGGGGGACGAAAGGCACAGTCAGGTGAGGGCGCCCGCAAGGGGCAATGTCAGCGGAGGACCCACCTTGGGGGTGGGAGGACGCGTCGGCCCGTGGCCGCGCATTTGTCGCCGATCCGGGCCGGGGTGCTCTGCTCTGCCCAGCAACGCTCTGTTTCGTCATCGGGGGCGTGCTGCTGGTCCATCGGCGATGAATCGCGGGTTGTGGGGGGGAGGGAGGAGGGCGAGCAGGAGGAGGCGGAGCAGGAAAATGGGAGAGGAGGGAGAGGGGGATGGGGGATCGAGGAGACGAGAGGAAGGGGAGAAGGAGGGGGAGTGGGGAGATTGCGGAGGGTGAGGGCCAAGCACGGGAGGAATGAGGCGGATGAGGAGGATGGGAGAATGTAGTGTCACACAACACATGACGAGAATGATGCATATGATGATGAAGATGTTGCCGATGTTGGCGATGACGACGGTAACGATGACGACGGCGACATGACGGCGATTATGATGATGATATGGTGGTGGTGGTGGTGGTGGTGGTCGTGCTGGTGGTGATCATACGGATGATAACGATACTGACAATGATGATGATGATGATGATGATGATGATGATGATGATGATGATGATGATGATGATGATGATGATGATGATGATGATGATGATGATGCTGATGCTGATGATGATGATGATGATGATGATGATGATGATGATGATGGTTGTGTTGGCGATGATGATGATGTCGATGCTGCTGATGATGGTGATGATGATGGTGATGCTGATGGTGATGATGATGGTGATGATGATGGTGGTGATGATGATGCTGCCGCTGATGATGATAATGCTGCTGACGATGCTGCTGATGATGCTGCTGCTGCTGATGATGATGATGATGATGATGATCGTGATCGTGATCGTGATCATGATGATGGATGGTGGAGGGAGAGGATAATATGGAAGAGGAGGGGAGACAGAGAGAGAGGGATACATAGAGAAGAGAGAGATTACTAATAGAGAGGTAGGAGGAGAGAGTGATGATGATGCTGCTGTTGATGATGCTGATGATGCTGTTGTTGATGATAGTGATGATGATACTGCTGCTGCTGATGCTGATGCTGATGATGATGATGACGATGCTGCTGATGATGCTGCTGCTGCTGCTGCTGATGATGATGATGATGATGATGATGATGATGATGATGATGGTGATCGTGGTCATGATGATGGAGCGTCGATTGAGATAATATACTATGGAAGAGGAGTATACATATATATATGTATATTTATCTGAATCAGAGAGAGGTAGGAGTAGAGAGTACTGCTACTGCTGATGATGCTGATTCTGCTGCTGATGATGATGATGATAAGCTGATGCTGATGCTGCTGCTGATGATGCTGCTGCTGATGATGTATTATGCGGAGGAGGAGGAGGAGGAGGAGGACGAGGAGGAGGAGGGACGAGAGGAGGAGGGAGGAGGAGGAGGAGGAGGAGGAGGAGGAGGAGGAGGAGGAGGAGGAGGAGGAGGAGGGGAGGAGGGAGGAAGAGGAGGAGGAGGAGGAGGAGGAGGAGGAGGAGGAGGAAGAGGAGGAGGAGGAGGAAGAGGAGGAGGAGAATGAGGAGGAGGAGGAGGAGGAGGAGGAGGAGGAGGAGGAGGAGGAGGAAGAGGAGGGGGAATCAGAAATGGACGAGGAGGATTGGCGACGGCCAAGAGCAGTCGGAGTTTCACTGAAACTGTTCATATGCTTCCAATTTGCGTTGCGCTGTCATCGGGCTTATGAGCTCGACGCGGCCTTCACGTTATCCCAGTCCTCCCTCCTCCTCTTGCCCTTCATGCCTCCTCCCTCCTCCCCCCGCTTCCTCCCCCTCCCCCTCCCTCTTCCTCCCTCATCCCGCTCCTCCCGAAGCGCTCGTCAGGGGCACGGTCCTTTGCCGCGAAAGGGGCCCGCAGAAAGAGCGCACGTATGCAGCCCCCCCGTGCTCCCCTCTCCCCGCAACCGTCTGGCAAGAAATCTCGCCCCCCTCCTGGTAGGCGGCGGGCGAGCACCCCCCTCCCTGCTCGAGTGGGCCTCTTGCAGGGGCCACCGAGGCTCGCGAGCGCCGCGGCCTCTGGACCCCTTGCGCGTGGTGCACCGGTGGAGCCCTCGAGCGCTGCGAGGGAAGCGGGGGGTCGTGCGTCTGCCGATGGCGGCCGCGGCACGCCGACGGAAGCCGGCCGAGCCCGGGGAACGCAAACGGGGAGCGCGGAACGCAGACGCGGCCCTGCTCGAGGGGGACGGTGCCGGCGGTCCTGCTCGAGGACGCGGCCCTGCTCGAGGACGCGGCCCTGCTCGAGGGGCAGCGCGGGCGGCCGGCGCAGGCCTCCAGAACTGCTGCAGGCGTCGGCTCGCCCCGCGAGCGCGAGCGCGGAGCGCTGCGCCATCGCCGCCTCTGCCTGCCCGACTTCCTCCCGCCAAGAGGCGGGCGAGGGCTCCGTGGCTGAGTCGCCCACCACATGGGGGTGCAGTGTGGCCTGCAGGGCAGGGGCCGCCCCGATCGCGCCAGGCCCTGCAGCCTCTACCGGCCGCCCCCCGTGGCGGGGGCGCCTTCTTGCTGGCCAGCACCGCGAGGCCTGACTCCCTTCGCCATTTCCCTTCGCGTTCGCTACGGATCTAAGACCTTTCTGTCTCGGGGACGCGAGTCCCAGCGACTCGCCCGGGGACGCTGTAGTGCCACACGTTTTCTTCCCTCTTGCATCCCTTGGCGTTCTCGTTGTCGCGCTGGACGGGGCTCAACCTTCCGCAGCGCAGCCAGGGTCTGCTTGTGATGTTGATGCTGCTGATGATGATCATGCTGATGACGATGCTGCTGATGATGCTGCTGATGGTGATGCTGCTGCTGATGATGATGATGGTGATGCTGCTGCTGATGATGATGCTGATGCTGATGATGATGATGCTGCTGCTGATAATGCCGCTGATGATGATGATGGTCATGCTGACGATGATGCTGCTGCTGCTGATGATGATGATGTTGATGATGATGGCGATGAGGATGATGATGCCGCTGATGATGATGACGATTCCGATGATGGTGATGCTGCTGCTGATGATGATCATGACGCTGACGATGATGACGATGATGGTAATGATGATGCTGCTGCTGATGATGATGATGCTGATGCTGCTGATGATGATGATGGTGATGATGATGATGATGCTGATGATGCTGATGATGATGATGTTGATGTTTATGTTGATGTTGATATTGATGATGATGCCGCCTTTGTCAACGTCGTCGCCAACGTCATAAGCATCGTCATAAGCATTTGCATCATATTTGCCATTTGTTGTGCACAGCAGCTTTCGGGCCAGCACTTTGAGGACCTGTTTCCAAGGCCCTGTCCGAGACGGTCTCCACAACAATCGCGGAGCAGCCCCAACCACCCCGCCCACATCTGACGTCAGAGGATCTCCACCCCCCACTCCCGTCGGGACCTTCTTCGGAGTGGGAGAAGAAGAGCCTGCGACTGTGCTGAACTCAGGCCAGTGATCCGATATGGGAGACTCAGGAGGGCGGTACCAGGCCACGATGCCCAAATCACGGCCACTCTTCATGCTCAGCGGCGGCTCCCCCCAGCAAGTCTAGATGCGGTGCCCACGACCGCTTCTAGCGCCTCTTCCCCCTCCCTCTTCCCCCTCCATTCGGGGATTGCTGAAGGTGCCCCTGGCCCGAGATGCCTCCATCTTTTCGCATCATTTTGAGCGGTGTTCTGGAGGCCATGGGGGCCTCCTTGGAAGTCTGGGGGGCACCTTGGGCCAGGGGCAGTTCTAGCAACACTCCTCTCACGCAGCCACCCCCTCCCCCCAGACAGGCCACCGAGGCCCTCGAGCGGGAGTGGGAGCGGCTCGCGCTCCACGCGGCAGGCAGTCTGCCCTCGAGGGGTCGTCGTCGTCTTCGTCGTCGTCGCCGTTGCCGCCGCCAGGGCCGTCGTCGTCGTCGTCGTCGTCGTCGTCGTCGTCGTCGTCGTCGTCGTCGTCGTCGTCGTCGCTCTCCGACGGCCCCCCTGGGGATTGAGACCGGCCCCTGGACGCCGAGCGCGGTGAGAGACCTGCGGTCTCGCCTCGCCTCTGGAGCCGCTGGATGCCCGGGGCTGCGCAGCCGCGGCCTCGGACGACTGCCGCCTGCCCGGTCTACGGATCTGGCTGGCGCCACACCCCCGGTGGCGCGAGGCAGAGAAGCTGCAGGAGCAGGCAGCTTCGGAGGTCCGCGCGGACTTTTTGGTCGGCGCTGGACTGCCCTGTCGCGGCCCTCCTGAAGCTTGTGCCCAGTCTTCTTCTCCTTTTTCTTCTTCTTGTTCGTCTTCTTCTTCTTCTTCGTCTTCTCCGTCTTCTTCTTCTTCGTCTTCTTCTTCTCCTTCTCCCTCTTCTTCTTCGTCTTCTTCTAGAGGCCAGCAACACATGTACACGTACGCGGGAAGCTTCCGCTGGACTGCGTTTGAACGCAGACACTCGTGCACGCATGTCCGCGACGAGCGTGCATGTACTTGTGTCCTTGTTCCTCTTTCTCTTCCTCCTCCTCCTCCTCCTCCTCCTCTACAAAACCATAGCGCATCGTCAGTCCAACACGCCTCGAGGGGGGGGGCGGAGCCAAACGCCCGGCCCCGCGACTCCTCTTCTTCTTCTTCTTCTTCTTCCTCCTCCTCGTATTCTGATTATTTCTCCTCGTATTCTGATTCTTTCTCTTCTTCTTCCTCCTCGTATTCTGATTCTTTCTCCTCCTCGTTCCTCTTTCTCTACTGCGCGGCCGCTCGGCCGCTGAGGCTCTTTGCGCGGGAGGTGGAGGACCGAGCTCGAGCGCCGAGGGCGGCCCCTTGCGGGCGTCGTAGAGGCCTTCTTGGGCGTCTTGGAGGCCTCTTGGGTCGTCTTTGTGCCCTCTTGGGGCCGTCTTGGGGGCTTCTTGGGCAGTCCTCAGGCCATCTTGGAGGTCTCTTGGGCGCTGTGGGGGCGATCTTGGGGGCCTCTTGGGCCGTCTTGGGTCGTCGGAAAGCCGAGAAGAAGCGAATGCCAAAATTCTTCAAAGACCAAAGGAAAGCCAATGATTTTTGCCTCTTCGGGCCCTCCTGGAGGACCTCTTGGAGGCCTCTTGGGCCGTCTTGGAGGCATCTTGGGGCCATCTTGGCCGTCTTGGAGGGCATCTTGGGTCGTCTTGGAGGCATCTTGGAGCCATCTTACCCGTCTTGGAGGCAATCTTGGCCGTCTTGGGGGCATCTTGGAGGCCATCTTGGGCCAACGTGGCCATCTTGGAGGCCATCTTGAGCCGTCTTGGAGGATTTTTTGCGGGATTGAGGTCTCGGAGGGTCCTTCCTGGGGGGAGTTCTTTTGGAAAAAGAACCAAAACCAAAACCGAAATAGTTTGGCACGCCAGGCATCCCTGCGATGAATCGACAGGGGGCGGCGGAAACCATCTCATGGCCTTAGGCCCATCCCGCCATCGTGCCTGGGTTGTGGGTATGAAGCCTATTGGATGTTCGATGGGATCTCGTGGAAGGCTTCTCGGGCGCCTCTTGGAGGCCTCTTTTGGGCCTCTTGGGGGCCTGTCGGGGCCTCTTGGGGGCCTCTTGGGGCCTCCTGGGGGCCTCCTGGGCGCCTCTTGGGGTCTTCTGTGGGCCTCCTGGGGCAGAAGGCTCGGTTTTTCGGCTCGTGCTTGGGCTGCTTTTGGGGCCGTCTTGGACCGTTTCGGGCATCTCTTGGGCCGTCTTGGGGCCCTCTTGGATCGTTTTGGGGCCCTCCGGGAGGGCTGCCGTCTATTTATGGGCTTCCCATAATTTGTCAGGAGGGGAAAAAGCACAGACACAATTCATCGTCGATTCCCCAGAAAATATGG